GTGCTCTTATTTGTTCCCACCCCTTTTTTTAATGAGCAAAAAAAAAAAAAAATCACAATTTCATCTTCTCCGCAAGGACATGAACACATCAAAAATCGAATCCCTTTCACAATTTACTAGCGTTTATCTTTTTATTCTTCTTCTGCCATACACACATAGGCATGCGTACACATGCATATATACACACATTTTGTAACAAACACTAATATACATAATTATTACCTTTAGTTTGATGGTTGAAATTGAAAAAACGACCCTGCAATGTTTATGTCATAGTAATTCATCATGGTGCATGTTCATGGTGCCTTTTTCATGTCAGTATAAGGCAGATCTCTACAACAGATTAATTCAAAAGGGATGAATTTCTTTATAATTGTTATTTTTAGAAATTCGTATGATATTGTTGTATCCTGAAAGTGGATTTATCGAGATTCATAGCCACCTTCCTGCTAGGGGTTTTTGGCAAAGGCTTTAATACTCCACTTTTGAGAGAGAGCAAAGGAGCCACTAACTTGCATTGATCATGATAATAAGGCAGTACTATGGAACGGTTGGTCCGGTGCGTAAGAATTTAAATTTTCTCGTTCAATATTTAGATTCGAGTTTTTATAATTATAGTGGGATTAAACTTATTTTTCAGCGTCCAAAACGCATAGTAAAAACTTAGTTTCAATTCTGCAATAAAATATTTTATAAATAGTTATGTGGTGTTAAAAAATAATATTTCTTAACGAATATGTGAAAGAAACTATCTACGTATCCATATTTTTAACTAAGAAAACATGATAATAAGGCAGTGGAATAAAAATAGCACTGACCAGACCCACACATGGCCCAAGGCGTGCTAGAAGAAGACAAACAGTGTAGCACTCACTATAGTTCATTATTAATTCTGGCTGCCCATACAACCATGTCACAACGTACAACTCTCTCAAACCGAAATCATTTTTTTTTTGGTTAAATATATTTTTAATCTCTAAAGTATGTATTTAGTATTTATTTGGTCCCTAATATTTCAATTGAATCCATTTGGTCTCTAAGGCTTTTAATTTCTATCTACATAGTCCAATTTCATACGTCTGTCAAAAAATCATAACTGTTTTGGTCACGCATCAATCACATGATTTCTACTTTTGTATCTACTTGATCCCCAAAGTTCTTAATTTTTGTCTATTTGGTCTCATGTGATTAGCGCTCGATCAAAGGCGCCAATGATTTATTGATGGACATTTGGATTGGATCACATAAATATAAATTATGAACTTTAAAGATCAAATAGACATAATTAAAAGATTGAGGACCAAATAAATAATATAAGTATACTTTGGGGATTAAAAATGTATTTTACCCTTTTTTTTTTCCTCTCCCTCCTTTTGATCCCCACACCTCATAACACATGACTTTTTTTAAGTTCTTAGATAGACTCGTCCTTGAATGGCTTACTCTCATTTGTGTGGAACTGAAAAGAAAAAAAAAAAAAGCCTAGGACCACCTCAACATTCCTACTTTTTGTCAAAATAATTTGGAACAAAATGTGTAAAGAGAGAAATAATGAACATTATCATCTATGCACTTTCTTAGTCCTAGTGTTCTACTTAAAAAAAGTAGGGTATTGATTAGGTTTTTATAGTTTGCTAGTGCTCGGCGTGCCCACAGAGAGAGAGAGAGAGAGAGGGGTGTTTTAAGAAGCACCCAAAACCTAATATATGATAACTTTTCATTTTTTAAAGTTCCACTAACCAAGCTAATGGATCTCCCTCGTTCATTGAGTAAATTTTCAATGTAATTATGACATCACACTATTATCGTTACATGATGTCATTATTCAATAATAAAAAAAATAAATAAAACTTATTCCACTTCTATACATGAAATATATATTGTATTACATAGATAATTATTTAATTATGTAAGATCCACTTATTTACTCATTAATATTAGTGGACGATTTCACAATGTCAAGCCGTAACCGTGGCAGTCTATATTCTCTCCTCATTGAGCATGGGATTCTCAACTGAGGAGTCTACTTTCCAGTTTTGTGAAAGCCTCCCTCCGATAGAAGAGAGACAAAGCACCTACTTTCCAGTAGTGAGCATATTTTAACAAGAGAGACTTCACAGAAGTGTCAAAATGTGCAGCCATGTCACTACCCCACTGTTCTGTCTCGCTAAATATACATTATTTTTTTTATTCAACAGTCAGGATATATGAGGCAGTTTACATGCATCTCGACTAATTCTCTTTCCAGTCCAGTCAAAAATAGTCTATTCTTACTAGGACTATGATATTAATGATGAATAAATCTCTCATAGTTTGGCTATAAAGGATTATCAAATTTTGAATTCAAGAAGTTTAAGTTTTCAGCTCGCCACTGTTATCACTTGAACTATCATTTGAAATTCTAAATAAACATCAGAGTTGTACAAGAAATGAATAGTTGCTTCCTATTTTAGTCTTCTTGCCCACCTAGCTGTGTTACGAGCTATCTTAATCCATATCTAAGTAATGTTTCTTCCTCCTAGCGTAATTATCCATAAAAAAAAATTATTATATTATTTTGGTGCATTGGTGTAGGGTCTTTTGGTGAGAAGGCTTACGGAGGAGGCTGTCCTATGAATAAAGAAGAAAAAAATAACGTGAAAGAGGGAAAGAAAGAGAAAAGAAAGGAGGAGGAAGAAGACAAGTGGATTAAGTTCTTTAAAAGTGAGTTTATTATTTATTTTATGGGTTTTATAGTTTATTCAATCACATGATATTAGGTTGATGATAGTGATATTGCGTAATATGTATATATACATATATACAGAATGAGTTTCATGGTAATTGTTTATTATTATTGAAATTTATTAGATTGAATTTAGACTTATAGTTGGCTAATCAATAGATTGAAAAAGAAAAGAAAAAAAAAGGGTTTGGAATTGTTGTGGCAGAACAAACAACCTGGATGACCGTAGGTAGAAGAAGACCAATTCAAAAATTATAGAAAGCTCTCATTTAATTTCAAAGAGTTTTATTTTGACCCCTTTATTCTTCTGAACTTAATTTTAAGTACTTTTTTACTTGGTAAGTTGTAAGAATAGAATTCTGGAAAATTTATGGCAGCCCTGAAGATAGAAAATTCGTTTTTAAGGAAATTATATTTTGACCCCAAAAGTTTTAAAAATTATAATTTGACCCCAAAATTTTAAAAACTTTTCTAAACAGCCCAAAATACTTCCATATCCTATTCACTCGTATTAGAAAAGATGTTTATATATAAAGGATATATTAAGTATATATCAAATAGTAAAAAATACGTAAATTAAATATAGAATCACGAAATGACGAAATTAGAAATAGGGATTGATCATTACATGTTATTTTGAATTAGGTAGTGATTACATTGAGGTTGAGAAAAAGTGTTTTGAATTGAATTTTGGAAATCAAGGTGAGTAGTTTATTACTTCTTTTGAGAGGATTTTCTAGATTAAACTTGTGGGTGCGCGTGTGTGAATTTTTCATATATATGATATATGTTGATGTTTGGGGTTACAATTAAATGTTTTTGCAATTGTGAATTGTTACACATGTGAATTTGCAAAACTTATGAGATGATTTTGTATTATTGCTTAAATGATTTTGTTGATGAAAGAGAAATTTTGTGTGCAATGAGACTAAAACAACAGTTTTAGTGTGTGTGTGTGTTGAAATCATGTTTTATGAGAAGGGGATTAGGTTATCAGGTAACGAGATTGTACACCGACGTGGTCGGTATAGGGATATGCACATAGGGGCCAGTTATCAGGCTAGTGATAAAAAAAGACGAGGCCAATCATTAGACTAGTGATGACAAGATATGAGACTAGTTACCAGGCTAGTAGTAACAAACATGATTTGATAAATGTATTTGAGACTGAATGTGTGTGTGAGTGTTTTGAGCTATAAATGTCTTTTCTTTTATAAAGTTATTATGATCATGAGATCATTTTGTTTACGTGGTTATGTGAAAGGGATTGTGGTATAATTTATTGTATTTATGTATATAACAAAGTTTATTTCTGTGTATATGAAATGTGAGATTTATTTTCAAACCTCATTAGAGGTGGTTGTTACTCATGGGCCTTTGTGCTCACCCAAATATTTAACATTTTTCAGGTGAGAATCAGGAGGAGGAGTAAGTCCTCGGATAGACAAGGGATTAGAAGAATCAAAGATTTATTTTATTGTAGATTTTCAGGAATAAATATTTTTTTTATAGTTTTGAGATAAGTATTCGATTGTTTTGAGAACAATGTTGTTTTTGCTTAGAGTAGTGAACCTTATGAATTAATTATTGTTTTACATGAGTTTAGTAATAATGTCGGTGATTTTAGTTTATTTTTCTGGTATTCATTAGGTCGGTGAAAAGAATCACTTTATTATTTGTCTTCCGCTGTATTTTGCATTAATTATGCACAGGAATGATTGATTAAAGCCTTGGTGGCCGGTCCGCTACTCACCCTGTGTGATCCGGGGTGGGGGTGTGACACCTACTCCTCTCATCTAGTCATCTAACCTAGATTCGATTACCAGTGCATCAGTGGATTCTCATATTGGATCGGGTTCATTAATAATCTATCGGCAATAATCAATTAGACCAGTAAATTAAATTCGATAATAAGGTCCAAAAAGGTCCCCGAATTCTTATTTGAAGTTCTAATTGAATATTGATCAAAATTTTGTTCGTGCATTTACGTGATTAAGTGTGATAATTACAAATGAAGGGTGTCCTTGCGAATTATAAGCAGTTCAGGCTATTCTTGAAACATTCAACTACATAAACTGTCAGTAACGACCATACTCCCCTGTTTCAAACAGAGTACCACATGAAACTCTCCAGCAGTTAAAAGAGTCAGGACATTCTGTGCTCCAAAAGGGTTTTCCAATAAAGGAAAGAAAAAAGTTGCAGGATTATGAAGAAAAACAAGGCCCTATCTCTTCTATTTATTATGTTTTTGGTTCTTGTCTTTGCCACATTTTCCATGGAATCTGTTGAGGCAAGAAAGAATCATAGCCAGACGAGCAGAGCTCATAAGCATCAGAAACAGAGAAGCGCCAATGGAAGAAATGCTCCAGTTCCTGCCCCACTTCCTCTTCCTTATTATGAATCAAGCATCTTCAATATTTTGTCCTTTGGAGCCAAAGGTGATGGAGTTTCTGACGATTCCAGGGTAAACAAATGTCATATACTTGTTTTCGACTGTATGTGTGTGTGTGTGAGAGAGAGAGAGTGAGAGAGAGAGAGGGGTTGTTAATCTGACTTATCACCATGTTGATCAAACAGGCACTTTTAGCAGCATGGAAGGCGGCTTGCATGGTTCCGGGAGCAATTGTAGAAATTCCATCAGAATTTAAGTTTCTTATAAAGCCCCTAACACTTCAAGGCCCATGTATGCCACTGGTTTTTCAGGTTTGTTTCTCTTCTTTCTACTGCTATAGCAGACTGTCATACTGTCCATTTCAGAGGATTCAGAGAGTTGGCCTAATGGCCACTGCCCCGCCGTTGGACCTAATTGTCACAGATTTGAACCTCAAAAAAGACAAAATAAAGAGAAAAAAAAAAGCTGTCCACTTTCTACAATATATATTCCTTCTGGTGTAAATGTTCTTTTACCACTATTAATTTCCTTGAACATTAAAAACTAACTGCGGTGGAATCCAAACAGATAGATGGGCTTCTTTTAGCTCCTCCAAAAGTTGGTTCATGGCCAAAATCAAGTTTGTTTCAATGGATAAACTTTAAATGGGTTCACAACTTCACCATCCAAGGTTCTGGTATGGTTGATGGCCAAGGCTCTAATTGGTGGAATTCTCAAATCGATTATGTTCAGGTTTGCAGCAGCCAAATTTCAACTATGTCACAAGTAAAACTACAACTTAACTTACGCATACATAAAAGCTAAACCTATTTATGTGTCCATTATTTATGCAGAGGCTATCCAAACACATTCTCGGTATGCAACCAACTGTAAGATTTCTTTCACACGATGACCCTATTAAAAAAAATTAAATTATGATGAGTAGGAATAATATTTTTGAGATATGAAGGAATTATTGAGTTAAATTTTCTCTCGAATACAGGTTTTGAGATTCTATGCCAGCTATAATATCACGGTACGTGACATTAGAATCATAAATAGTCCTCAGTGCCACCTAAAATTTGACAACTCTGGAGGGGTGAAGGTCAGCAACATCACAATTTCTGCACCAGAGAGCAGCCCAAACACCGACGGGATTCACCTGCAAAACACCCAAGATGTAGAAATTCAGCATTCTAACATCAGCTGTGGTAAGATTAGTCCATTGAAAATTTGCTTTTCTCCCTGAATTTCGCACATGAAAAATTGCATGTTACTGGGCAAACAGAAAAGTGTAAAATGGTTAATTAAAGAGAAACTTTGGGAAACACATGTTATTGTTCTAATTTTGGGTTCTAATTCTAACAGGCGATGACTGTGTGTCGATGCAGACTGGTTGCTCTAAAATCCATGTGCATCATATAAATTGTGGCCCTGGTCATGGTATAAGGTAAATCAGCACATTAAAAGACAAATAACATAACTCTAGCTTAGAAAGATAGGCAAACATATTGGCTGTAAATTACTGTACTGTTTCACTTTGATGGCATTCAACTCATTTATCATTTCATTCCAGTTTAGGAGGATTAGGGAAAGATAAAAGTATTGCTTGTGTCTCGGACGTCATCATTGAGAACATCTCTATGCAAACCACTATGTATGGAGTAAGGATCAAGACATGGCAGGTACAATCAACATCAAATTTCTAAACTATAATCTGAAAATTTCATTTTGTCGATTTTTTATGCTGCTATACTAATTTTCTTGGTCATTTTTGATTATACTCTAATTTGACAGGGTGGTATTGGATCTGTTAAGAATGTTTCATTCTCAAATATTCAAGTCTCTGATGTTAAGGTCCCCATAATGATTGATCAGTACTATTGTGACAAGAATTTCTGCAAGAACCAAACAGGAGCCGTGGCGATATCTGGTGTGAAATTTGATCAGATAATTGGGACTTATTCAGCACAACCAATTCATCTAGCATGTAGCAATGCCGTTCCCTGCACTGACGTTGATCTAATTGATATTCAGCTAAAACCTTCACCGGGTTATCAAGGATTTGAACAGGCATTGTGCTGGAACTCGTATGGGAAATCACAAGAACCTCTTGTTCCATCAAGCATGGACTATTGCTTAAGAAGTGGAGGTGGTTCTGTGAAGGAAATAGCAGCAAGATCACATGTGCCTGTTTGTTAACATGTAGCATATTTCAAGACATGTTTTGTTGTGATTTCTCTTCTTCATGTCATGTCTGTGTCCGTTTGCTTCGTTTCTGCAATATTTTTACTGCTGGAACGTGATGGCTTCAATTGGTGTTCAAGCATAGTGTAACTTCTATTCACATTTGCAGGAAAAAAATTGGACAAATAAAATTTCCTCCCATGGGTTTCAGTCATAGTCATAATTTTCACATTCTTATTCTGCTAGATAATTTCAATTGGTGTCAGTCCAATTGGGGCATTGAACTGGTTTGAGAGAGAGACGGAAAAAGAAAAAGGGGGGGGGGGGGTAAAAATAAGACAAAAAGGGATGCTATATGCCCTCTCCCTCCCCCGTCCCTCTCTCTACAATTGACTTCATAAATCTTGTTCAATTGCTTTTAGAAAACCCCTCTCTCTCTCCACAATTGATTTCATAAGTCTTGTCCAATGACTTTTAGAAAACCCTCTGTCTCTCTCTACAATTGACTTCATAAATCTTGTTCAATTACTTTTAGAAACCCCCCCTCTCTCTCTCTACATTTGACTTCATAAATCTTGTTCAATTTCTTTTAGAAAACCCCTAAAGGTGACTTAAATAGAAACATAAACGAGTTTTAAATCTAGACGTCACAAATTCAAAAATTAACAATCTTTTTAAGGTAATTTATCTCTTATAGATATTCTAATTTTGCTGTGAATGGTCTATTTTTGATCAGATCAGGAAGAAGATTAGTTGAGATCCATAAAAGCTGACCCGTACACTCCTAATCGTTGAAAAAAAAATTATTTTTAGAAATTTCATTCTATATACTTAGACGAAATGTAAATTTAGACCCCCTAAATTTAAATCTTTGTAATCCCTTGGTGTCAGGCAATAAGAGATTTATTTTTGTTGAATATCTTAATTCTAACGTGGATAACCTGTATTTAATTATACTAAAAAAAAATTAATTAAAATATAAATAAATTGATTTCTGACCGTTGAAAAAAAAAATTCAAACTTGTATGTTGATTTGTTTCAAAAGTGCTGCACTCCCATAAATAACACGCATTCATGTTCACTGACTTAACCGTCAACCGGTCCCACAACCACAAGCAAAGGAATTTCGTTGAAGAACCGCGTGTTTCAGAAGTCTCTTTCACTTTGGTCTTCGTTTCCAAATCCGTCAAACACTTTTCTTTTCTTCCTTTTGACTTCTCATCATTTCTACGCACCCTCTGTGTGTGTGTGTGTGCGTGCAGTGTGAGGATTGACGTGGGAAGGTGGATCACCTTGGGGATTCAGTGTTGATGAAGGTATGAACTCAGGTATCCATTTCGGTATTTCGAAAGTGGAGGGGGCTGTTGAGACAAATTTTCAGAGGTTTGAATGAATTTCTCAAATTTTGCATGATTTTTTTCGGTTAATTTTTCCTCATCTGTCACTGGAGCTTTTGATTCGAGGTTGGATCGCAATAATATAAGCTTTGAAGCCGAATATTCTCTGTCAAACTTAAATTGGGTCTATCTATTGCTCCTGTTTTCCTCTGTATTTTGCACATTTTGATTAAACTGAATGCATCGCCGAGTTTGGCTGTGATCGACCTTGTTTTAGTGTCATTTATTATTGAATGCCGATTTTTTTTTTGAATTACATGATTCATCATCAATCCTCAATTAGGTTGGCTCCCCCTTGTCTACAAGTTGGCCCCAGCTTTCTGATGATAACTTTCCTATCTGTGTTCAATGCAGGGGGGCTCAAGTAAATTTGAAACCAAAAGTAGAAATAATAAATTGAGGTTTTTTTTATTTTTTGTATAATATTTTTAAAAAAAATTACTTTATTTTTAATTTTCTATGTGAGAGAGAAACAATAGAATGATGTGATAATATTGTTGAGAAAAAGATTTTAATTTTAATTTTTGTTTTTTATCACATAGAGGGAGAGAGTGTTTAATTTTAACTTTTATTTTTAACTTTTTTTACCGAAGAGAGAGAAAGTGGGTGAGAGTAAATATGAATTGACTTTTGAGTTTTATTTTATTTATTTTTTTAATTTCTAAGTTTGTAATGTTATGAATTGAATTATAGATTCAAATTATTGTAATAAAAATTTTGATTGAATTTAATTTTTTGGGGCTTTTTTGTAAGGCTTAAAATTTAATGAATTTAATTTTTTGTGGGCTAGTGAAGTACATAAAATTATGGGGCCTTTTAAAAATTTAGGGAAAATTGGAAGAGGATAGACAAAATTAGACTTAATTGTAAAACGGTACACAGAAAAAATATTGTATAATTAAGTCCTTAATTTTGATACTTATTTGTATTTAAGCACATTATTTGAATATTATTGATTTTTTTGTGACATTTTTGTTCTACATTGATCCATGTGTATTTTATTTGGAAAGTGATGTATTAAACATCTCATAGTTTTATGAAAAAATTTTAATATTCCGTATTTGTATATTCTTCTTTGATTCATACGTATTTTTTTTTGAAAAGTAGTTTTATTTTTAAATTATATTTAATGCACATTTATTTATGCGTATATTTTTTTGAAAGTGGTTTTGTTTTTAAATTATATTAATATCCGAACAGTGTAACAACAACAGTGTAACTAGTCATTTATACAAAATATTGTACTATTACATTTTGTCAAACATATATTTTCATATAATTTTATTCAAAACATTCCATCTTCGCTTTGAATTTGTTATCATATGCACAAAATTACTGAACGCTGTTTTTTTTATAGTGTATTATTACAGTGTCTTTGTTACAGTATATTTGTTACACTATTATAGAGTTTGGATATTAACAAATTTTGAAATTCAAACAAGTGATATATTTTAAAATAAACAGAATATTAAAATTCTCATATAAAACTAGTAGTAGTAAATATTTAATGCATAAATATAATTTGAAAATAAAATTATTTTCCTAAAAAAAAAATACGAATGAATCAAGGTGTATTAAAGATAAGAAATTTTGATTTAAATGATCATAAATTTCAGCGTTTAATAAATGCCTTGTTAAAGTTTTTAGGAAATTTTTTTTTATAAAATAGGCATTTATGTCTTTGTATCTCAATTGTGTACTTTTTTCCAATATATTTTATTTTATATACTTTTTTTATAATTATGATTAATTTGATATACTAGTTTCTAAAAGATCCAAAAATTTATGGCCTAAAACCCACATTTTTTTTTTCATACTATTAGGTCGGCCTTGGTTTAATGGTCATGCAATCTTCTTGTTGGTCCCACTTCTATGCAAATATGGGATATTGTCACAATGAGTCAGAGATGTATCTGGTCTGGGTTGTCTTCACAACTGTGGAGTTGACAAACTAGCAAATCAAGAGCCAAAATGCTTAAGTGGTCCGATGGTTAGGTCTATCTTTTGGTAATTCAAAGTAAAAGGTCTTAGTTATAATTCTTTCCCATACCCTTAAAGACTGGCCATCCTTTATCTCTTTGGGAACATGCTCTAGACTAGTTCAAGTCATGGTGGCCAGCCGTTAAACTCGAAGAAATAGTCGACGCAAATCTAAACACTTTGTAGGAAGAAAAAAAAAAAATACTTGTGGAGACCAAGCTGATGCCATTATGAACCCCAAAATTGACTGTGGAGTTAGTGTATTTAGTTCTGTGTGAAATCAAACCAGTGTATTTAGTTCAGTGTGAAATCAAACCAAATTATGGTAGCATTTATTGTCAATCACACTAGTAAGTGCTTCCCTTGCCTTTGTTAACTTGGGAGTCCAGGGTTGAACAACCCTTCTGCCCAAGGAAGGAGCCAAATGCAATCAATACTTTCCTTGCTTTAACATCCTGAGTCCTACTTAGGCATTTCACAAAGCTTCTTCAAGCTAAGTGACTCTCATTATCTTGAATTTTACTTTCCCTGCTTAAAAGTGAGAAATAATAAAGTATTTTCACTAAGACATAAATTCTGGAGAAATATCATAGTTTTGTTAAGACTCCAACAAATAATGTGATGGGAGGATAACGAGAACTCGTGTGGAATGAAGGGTATTGATTGATGGTGATTTTCAAATCTTGCAGAACAGAATGGCAGCACCATTGAAATAGCACTGTTATGCTGTTGGCTTGCTGATTATTCTTTTTCTCAGCATTTTTCCTTTATACTGTTTTTCTGTCTAGGTGCTTGAACAGTTGGACATACAAATCATTCATTTTTGTTGAATTGCCAGCAACCACAGACTCACAATCCAAGCCAGTAAACACAAGTCTCGGTTCATTCCAAAAATGAAGAAAGTAATCTCAACACCGTCTACTTTCTCAACACCAGCTATCTTTTTCATTCTGGCTATGACTCTACTATTACTAGATGGATCACTGGGAGACCCAAGATCTCAGACGGTTCAGATCATGTGTGGGAATCAACCTGAGCACAATTCAACCATCTATGTGCCAAACTTTGTTGCGACAATGGAAAACATCAGTGAACAGATGCGGACTTCTGGTTTTGGAGTAGCAGTTACAGGTTCAGGACTCGATACTAATTATGGACTCGCTCAGTGCTATGGCGATCTTTCTTTACTTGATTGTGTATTGTGCTATGCTGAGGCACGCACTGTTCTTCCTCAATGCTTCCCTGTCAATGGGGGTCGCATTTACCTCGATGGTTGCTTTATGCGAGGTGAGAATTACAGCTTTTTTGAGGAATATACAGGGCCAGGAGACAGGGTCTTGTGTGGGAATACAACCCAAAAGAGTTCCACATTTCACGAGTCAGCAAGGCAGGCTGTGTTGCAAGCAGTTTCAGATGCACCAAACAATAATAACTATGCTAGGTCTCAGGTGGCTGTGTCGGGGGCTGTAAATGAGTCAGCTTATGTTCTAGCTGATTGCTGGAGGACACTGAATGCAAGTGCTTGCAGAACATGTTTGGAGAATGCATCTAGTTCAATATTGAGATGCTTGCCCTGGTCTGAGGGGCGGGCATTGAACACCGGGTGCTTCATGAGATACTCTGAAACCAATTTCCTTAATCCTGTTCCTGGCAATGGAAGTTCAAGAGGTAATAAGATTTCTAGTTTCTCCTTCCCTGTATTTATCAAGTACTTTAGCACATTAAATTTACTAGCATATGAACAAAACTAGTAGGGCATGGAAAGAGGTGTTAGTAAGAAATAGAACTTGAAGATTGAAGTTTGCCTGATCACGGTTTTTCAATGATTACTTCTGCAGGGAAAATCATAGTGATTGTAGTTGCTGCTGTTAGTTCTGTGGTCGTTTTGGTAGTTGGGGCAGTTCTTGGAGTTTATATCTGGAAGCACAAGAAGATACAGAGGAAAAGAAGATGCCATTTGGGTATTACTTCTACCTTTGCATTTCAATATCAGCTATAAAGCAGTTGCATGATCCCAACTATTAAGAATGGCATCAGTAATTAAAGCAAAAGTACTGATTGAAAATGTAAAATAAATTCAGAACAGTTTATTGCATCATTTATCTGTGGGATACTGGGATTTCCCCTACTTCAAGAGTCTTTGAATACTTGTATCTTTAGAACCTCAAATAAAGTAGGGTTTCTGTATTTTTACTTTAAACCAAGACATGATAATATGGTCTCTGAAACAGAATCAAACTTTTTGAAGGTTCCTCTCATTCTTGAACTTCTCAGGTTCAAACGACGCAGAGAAATTGGCGAAGACCCTTCATGACAGTAGCTTGAACTTCAAGTACTCCATACTTGAGAAAGCCACAGGGTCTTTTGATGAGACCAACAAGCTTGGGCATGGAGGGTTTGGAACAGTTTATAAGGTATTGTGTAGAATGTACTTGGATAAATGATATTATGTTAATTGCTTCGTTTTCTCATTGTGTTGAAAAGTTTCATTTCCATTAGACCTAGACATAGCCTCACAATTTCTCTTTATTGCAGGGAGTTCTACCAGATGGAAGAGAGATTGCTGTCAAGAGGCTGTTCTTCAACAACAGGCACAGGGCAGCAGATTTCTACAATGAAGTTAATATTATTAGCAGCGTTGAGCACAAAAATCTAGTGAGGCTATTAGGTTGCAGTTGTTCAGGACCAGAAAGCCTTCTCGTGTATGAGTTCCTGCCAAACAGGAGTCTTGATCGCTTCATCTTTGGTAAGTACAGGATTTTACATTGAATTTGGAAGTCTGAGTTCACATATATGGCCTCTCAACCCAGGGCACTGTTTTGAACAATGGCCGAGGATATGCATATTATCTAGTGCTACTCCTTAGAGCATGTCTTACCATCCCAAATTTGTGACAATGTGAAGTTAACGGAATTGGGATAAATGTTGACTACACTTGACAGATTCGAACAGAGGTAAAGCGCTGAACTGGGAGAAAAGATTTGATATAATTATGGGGATGGCAGAAGGTTTGGTTTACCTTCATGAAAGCAGAAAAACCCGAATCATTCACAGAGACATAAAAGCAAGTAACATCTTGTTGGATTCAGGGCTCCGTGCTAAAATCGCTGATTTTGGGTTGGCCAGGTCTTTCCAAGAAGATAAGAGTCACATCAGCACTGCTATTGCAGGAACATTGTAAGCAACTTTTCATTTCCGTTACTCTTCAAATGAGTAAGAGTAGAAACTGTAAGTTTACCAAATTCTTAGATTAATTAACTAATGTTGAGGTCCATTCACTTTTCTAAATCCACAGAGGATATATGGCTCCAGAATATCTGGCCCATGGCCAGTTGACAGAGAAAGCAGATGTGTACAGTTTTGGTGTGCTTTTGTTGGAGATAGTTACAGGAAGCCAGAACAACAGGAGCAAAACTTCAGAATATTCAGACAGCCTGGTCATCGTTGTAAGTCCTAAAGCTTTTAGTGTTCTATGTACGTCCAAGCATTTCAATAATCCAACAATGAACTCCCTTTTTGTTTAAGAAAGGAAATATTATATTGATTCGAAAATAGATAGAAGACGTACAATAAAACTCAAAACACATCCACAAACACACACTCAGCTGTATTCCACACAAAACACAAACCTAGACTACATTAAAATTTCTAACACAACACGTGAGACTTGGCGCACGATAAAAATTAACGCTATAATTTTGCATTTTGATTTACCTATTATGTTATTTGGGATTAAACAGGCATGGAAGCATTTCCAACAAGGGAGAGCAGAAGAACTCTTTGACCCAAACCTAATGCTGCATAACTACCCCAACAGCAACATGAAATATGAGGTTTTAAGAGTGCTGCATGTAGGACTTCTGTGCACTCAAGAGGTTCCTTCACTACGACCATCAATGTCTAAGGCACTGCAGATGCTGGCAAAGAAAGATGAGCACCTCCCTTCACCCACTAATCCACCTTTTGTAGATGAGCAAACCATGGCACTTAATGACACATCCAAAAACCCGAGTCACCCCCTCAACGTCCTCAATTCTGATTCAATTGCCAGTGTCTCCCATAGTTCCTTCTACCCTAGGTAACACCTAAGTAGGATGAATCTGGAAGAGTTTCATGGAAAAAGTTATTACAGCCCATTCATCTACAAGGGAAAATATACAAGCATCTGAAAGTTGTATCATAGACTCCCTTATCAGCAATTATGAGTTACAGTTTGATACACAAGACACAAATACATGGTGGTGATACAAGTACAACGGTTCGATACCAATATTTTCTAATGCTACACAAATTTTTAGAGACTTACGAATTCATTCAATAATTCAAACTAACAACATTACAGCGAAAAGCAATGATTACAATTGAACCGAACACTAATAATGCATTCCAGATTTTTTTTCCCGTTATGAAATGCGACTTTCTGAATACTAATAAAGATTCTACCTTCTAAAATGGAAATTAACACGGCATAAACCCGCTTGGCTTGACACCCATCTACCGTGTGGCCATCAAGTTCCCCATGAGTCCACCACCAATCTCGAAATGTGTGGCAGTAGAAAACCCTGTCTGCAAAGCTAGCTTCTCTAACTCCTTTCCTGTAAGGTTACACAAACAACCCAGCTAATTAGAAAGAAAAATTGCCCAAATGACCTACTGCAGACATTATCAGGTTCTCCCTTTCTTCTGCAAACAGTTCTGAGACACATTACTTTGTTCTTTAAGCAACGTCCGTATAATTGCAATGGCATCCATGTTCAGAACCCCATAAATATTCATGCCCATTAACAAAAGTACACCAGTACAAGCCATATACAATGTCATCATTCTTTGAGCAAGGGAAGTAAAAGGCCTAAAGATGGCCATCTCTTCAGGACGTAATACAATACAAAGAGAAAATATTGCAGGTTCTGTGGATAAAACAGAGACAACTAAATACATTACTGATGAAAAAATAACACTTATATTTGGGTTCGACAACATTTTTTTCAACTGAAATATGGAGAATTCATCCCTAATAGGCTAACTTGTAGTTTGCATTAATGAAAAGAACAAACCTGTTAAAAATTCCTGAATTGAACTTTTCAAATATTTGTACTCAGTTGTTAGGCCGCACCCACTTGCCACAGGAACAACAATGTTGTGAATCATCCATTCCTTGCATAAAACAAAGCACAAGAATTGTAAATTTCTATTGAAAATTACACAATAATTAAAATTAAAATTTGATCCTTGTTGCATTCGTTTCCAATTCCCATTTAGTAAAGAGCGACCACGAAGGCCTTTAGATTAGACATATTCAAGATAGGGATGGAACTTCTAGAAATAAATTTACTCAACCTCTATAGTATGAATGTAGATACCATCCTTTATTTCATGGCGCAAGGTTGAAACTTATGCTATCAGGCCCAGAGCAAAGCAATAATGGCAAAATAAAATCCACGAAATAGTTTAAGAAAATATTTCCAAAACATTTGAATGTCAAAGTAATGGAATAAACTTCTATCTTGCCATTAGTACCTCAAATGAAGTACCAAACGGATTCATGTTTTTGTTAAAGTCAAGGACTGATGCTTTTGAAGCCGGTTTTAGAACTCGATTCATCTCTGCCATCGCTTTATGAATATCTACCACATTCCGTAACCCATAGCCAATGGTAATGGCATCAAAGTAACAGTCAGAAAATGCTATATCAAGTGCAGCACCTTCGACCCACCTGTGATGGATCACATGATACTAAGGCCATGCAGATACTGACTAATAACTACCATAAACACATAGTTAGCAGCCACAGGGGATTACACAGTCATTTGTCTCTTGTTGCAGGATATCATTGCAAAGATGTTGGAGGAAATAGTTTGTATAAGAGACCTTTTCATGTTTAGCCCGTTAGTTAATCAATCAACAGCTGAATTTTCCAGTGCTCACTCAATATTCTTGTAGCAGGACATTAAGCGCAAGTGCTGCCTAGATGAAGCAACCATTAATTGCTCTTTTGAGAAATCAAGACCAACAACCTGAAAGTTGCAGACCAAAAAAGGTGGAAAAAACAAAATATCAAATTCTCAGATTAAAAATTTCATACCTTAAGATGTTGGGTTAAGATATCATGCCATTATAGGCTACAAGACAGACATCATGTTAGCTACCAAAACATGGTAAATCTAGAAAACCCTTGGTAGAGATGATAAATATCAGCTCTCTTCTGCGTCATACACAAGGTTAATAGACAACAAATGTGCTACAATAAATTCAGAATGCAAGACAAAAAAAACACAAAAATGTGCCATGCTTTAAAGACAGCACTCCCTCTGCCTGCAGGTCGGCAGTCATGCTCATTCCTCCAAAATATAACGCAAACTCCTTCACATCATATGCGCGGTGAAGGATTTCAATCTGTGACCTGAAATATTATAGGTTTTCTATTCACAACCATATGAGCAATTATATCTAAAATGGAGTACTAGAGTGATTTCCATGGACCCCAAGCATGTTCCACTTTCTTATCCTATCATAAGACGATTTAATTCTGAGCTGGTGTACTTGTAATGTCCTTTTAGTCTAGAGGATACAAATAAAATACAAACGTAACAATGCCCCTGTATGGTCATACATTCCAAACATTAGTCTCGTTCTTAGCAATAATCTATGTCACTATAGTGTATACTTTCAGGCCCATTTTCATACAATCTTAAGCAATGCGTATAGTGCATGACCGAAATGAATGTCAAGGCGGACTTATGTAGCCGATTCCAAATGATTGAGATATAAGACTTGATTTGGTTGGTCCTATGCAATGCAAAATGAGTAAATAAAAAAAACAAACAAAAAGGAGACAAAACCTTTCCATTTGTCCCAACTCCCTCAGACAATAGAAAGGCCAAATCCCCACTTCCACAGCACACATCCAACACAGAGTCTCCCTCCTTCGGTCTATGCAAAACAAATACATATTTGTACACGTTGCGAATATATACATCCATCTATAGTTCTATGTGTACAAATAAAGAAACACATTTCATATACTGGTAATCAAATAAATTGAGCAAAAGGAGTATAATTTAGTTTACGCACTCCAAGATACGGCCATTCTTTTCCATATTCGATGCTGACCCAAGCTCAGCAAGTCATTCAACTGAAAGAATTCAACTCAAAAATCAGAAAAAACGGTAAACCCACAATTCGAATACCACTAAAATGTGGTTGGAGTAACTTAAAAGTGATGGTTGGTGGTGCGTACGTTGTCATAGACCGGAGCAATGCGATTAAATAGCGCCTGACGGTCACCGGCGCATCGAGCCGACCGGAATTTGGACCGGAACTTCGGTGGACGATGTCCGGGAATTGGGCCAAGAGAGAGGTGAAGTGAAGCCATCGTATCAGCTTTGGTTAATGTTTGTCTGATCAAACAGGTACTTTTAGCAGCATGGAAGTCTGCTTGCAAGGTTCCGGGATCAATTGTAGAAATTTTTACCACTATTAATTTCCTTGAACATTAAAAACTAACTGCAGTGGAATCCAAACAGATAGATGGGCTTCTTTTAGCTCCTCCAAAAGTTGGTTCATGGCCAAAATCAAGTTTGTTTCAATGGATAAACTTTAAATGGGTTCACAACTTCTCCATCCAAGGTTCTGGTATGGTTGATGGTCAAGGCTCTAATTGGTGGAATTCTCAAATCGATTATGTTCAGGTTTGCGGCAGCCAAATTTCAACTGTGTCACAAGTAAAACTACAACTTAACTTATGCATACATAAAAGCTAAACCTATTTATGTGTCCATTATTTATGCAGAGGCTATCCAAACACATTCCCGGTATGAAACAAACTGTAAGATTTCTTTCACTCAATGACCCTATTAAAAAAAAACTAAATTATGATGAGCAGGAATAATATTTTTGAGATATGAAGGAATTACTGAGTTAAATTTTCTCTCGAATACAGGTTTTGAGATTCTATGCCAGCTATAATATCACGGTACGTGACATTAGAATCACAATGTCTGCACCAGAGAGTAGCCCAAACACCGACGGTATTCACCTGCAAAACACCCAAGATGTAGAAATTCAGCATTCTAACATCAGCTGTGGTAAGATTAGTCCATTGAAAATTTGCTTTTCTCCCTGAATTTCACACATTAAAAATTGCATGTTATTGGGCAAGCAGAAAAGTGTAACATGGTTAATTAATGAGAAACTTTGGGAAACACTTGTTATTGTTCTAATTTTGGGTTCTAATTCTAACAGGCGATGACTGTGTGTCGATGCAGACTGGTTGCTCTAAAATCCATGTGCAACATATAAATTGTGGCACTGGTCATGGTATAAGGTAAATCAGCACATTAAAGACATATAACATAACTCTAGCTTAGAAAGATAGGTAAACATATTGGCTGTAAATTACTGTACTGTTTCACTTTGATGGCATTCAACTCATTTATCATTTCATTCCAGTTTAGGAGGATTAGGGAAAGATAAAAGTATTGCTTGTGTCTCGGACGTCATCATTGAGAACATCTCTATGCAAACCACTATGTATGGAGTAAGGATCAAGACATGGCAGGTACAATCAACATCAAAGTTCTAAACTATAATCTGAAAATTTCACTTTGTTGATTTTTTATGCTGCTATACTAATTTTCTTGGTCATTTTTTATTATAATATAATTTGACAGGGTGGTATTGGATCTATTAAGAATGTTTCATTCTCAAATATTCAAGTCTCTGATGTTAAGGTCCCCATAATCATTGATCATTACTATTGTGACAAGAATTTCTGCAAGAACCAAACAGGAGCCGTGGCGATATCTGGTGTGAAATTTGATCAGATAATTGGGACTTATTCAGCACAACCAATTCATCTAGCTTGTAGCACTGCCGTTCCATGCACTGACGTTGATCTAATTGATATTCAGCTAAAACCTTCACCGGGTTATCAAGGATTTGAACAGGCATTGTGCTGGAACTCGTATGGGAAATCGCAAGAACCTCTTGTTCATCAAGCATGGACTGTTGCTTAAGAAGTGGGTGTGGTTCTGTGAAGGACATAGCAGCAAGATCACATGAGCCTGTTTGTTTTAACATGTAGCATATTTCAAGACATGTTTTGTTGTGATTTCTCTTCTTCATGTCATGTCTGTGTCCATTTGCTTCCCTTCTGCAATATTTTTACTGCTGGAAGGTGATGGCTTCAATTGGTGTTCAAGCATAGTGTAACTTCTATTCATATTTGCAGGATAAAAATTGGATAAATAATATTTCCTTCCATGGGTTTCAGTCATATTCATAATATTCACATTCTTATTCTGCTAGATAATTTCAATTGGTGTCAGTCCAATTGGGACAAGGGATGGTATTAGACCTATGAAAAACGGGTATTCATCCATATCCGTTCCATTTGGACCAGAGATGGACTATACGTATTAGACGGTGAACGTATATGAGAATACCCATATAAATCTGTGCGGAGATGAAGACGGGGATGGACTTACCCTTACCCCCGTCCCGTCCCCGCCTTCGTTACCCATAATATATATATCTCATCAAGTATTGATGTGAAAGTCTAATGCATCAAGTATTTTGCTGTCTATCATTACTTTAAAATTTTGTGTAATCTTGTAAACTTGTATACTATGCTTTTGAGTATGTTTCTTGGTTTTGTTTTTTTCTTGTTGCTATTTTGACTTTGAGAGTATTATTAACTGTGCAAGATTGTCGCATTATTTGTTTATCCTACTTAGGGCTGTCCATGGGCTGGGCCGGACTTAGCCTGTAAATTTTTTTTTCGGGCCGGACTTGGATAGTATAAGCCCAAGCCTGTACTTAGGCGAGTGGCAGGCCGGGCTCAGGTAGGGGTAAGCTACCCGCAATCCAGCCCGTCACCTATTGGGCGGGCTTTCTGGGCGGGCTTTGCGGGCCTGTTTGGGAAGACTTTGTTGGGCCTGTTGGAAGCGAACTATTTTAAGTTATAGTGGTCATTTAATTATAAAAATTGGTTGAGCAAATTTAAAAAATTAAGTTTTAATAAGTAATTTAATGTGATATTGAACATATTTGTAACATTGATAATCGATACAAATAAAATGGCTTCTAATATTACCAATAAACATAACTAAAGAGGATTTATTAAAACTAAAACATAAAAGAAAAGAAAATGAAAAGTAAGAGTTTGATAATATTATTCAAATTGTATCAAAATAAATCTTATATTAAATAAGACTTTAGTACATTTATGCAATTTCATTTGAAAATTCTAAAACTTGTCATCAATTAATGAAAATAGATAGAAATAAATAATAGTAAATTTAATTATTTTAACAATTTATTTTTATCTGTTAAAAGAAAGAATATGAAAGGTTTGACTATGTGTAATATTAATGAAGTTTTATTATTGTAAATTCCATATTAATAATGTTAGTATTGTGAGAGTTGAATTGTCCAATTAAAAATTTAACATCAATCTAGTCTTATTAAAATGAGTTCTAAATTAAATAATGCTAGTATTGTCTTTATATATTGTGTTTAGGGTTAAAGTAGTCAATCAAAAGTTTTTCTAAATAATGTACTTTTATTAGTAATATAGATATAGATATGCATATTATATATATAGTATGTGGGTTTCGGGTATGTGGGCGAGTTATTGGGCCGGGCTTCGATTTTTGGGCCATGCTTCGGACTATGGGGCCGGGTAGTGGGTTTAGAGAAAATTCAAGCCTTTTCTTAAAGTATATTGGGCTCAGGTTTGAGCGGGCTAACTATCGTGCTTCAGGCCTATTTTTTTGAGCCAGGTAACGGGACTCGTGGGTAACCCGGCCCTTGGACACCCTTAATCCTACTAATCTTAACTCCCATGCAATCTTTGTTGGAGAATTGTCATGGCTGACCTTCTTCAGCATGCTATGGTTTTCTATTACCATCCGAGGTGGTTTACATTTTTGCACCTGCATTCAGAGCTTATGACTTTACCTATGTTGAAAAAATTGCTAGTGTTAAAATATTTGTTTTTTATCTGTCATAGACAACCCTTTTCTAATTCTGAGTTGGTGTGAAGCTGATATTAAGAGATAATTGAGTTGATTGAGATGATTCTACCACCCATTATGTTATTTGTGTTATGTTGTGTAATATTGAATTATATCAAATTTAAGTAGTATTTTGGACATTTGTTGTTTTTGTTATGTTCGAATATGTGATGTTACATTATGTTGTGTTAGATTATGTTAGATTAATTAGAATATTGTTTAATTATTTAAAATGTCAAATTTATTTAAAATTTTGAATTATATTGACTTGAACTTGGACTTAGACTTAAGCTTGGGCTTGGGCTTAGGTGGGTACGAGGGAAGCAGGGACGGAGATTATAAATTTACCTGCAGACGGGAATAGAAATAAAAATTACACCCGTTAACGGGGGGTGGACCGGAGATGAATAAAGATTTTTTAGGCGGGTACGGGGATGAAGACTATACCCCCGCCCCCGCTTTAGTCCATTAGCATCCCTAATTGGGACTTTGAACTGGTTTGAAGAGAGAGAGAGAGCGGGAAGGTGGGTTGTAAACATAACACAAAAAGGGATGTTATATGCTCTCTCCCTCCTTTGCTCTCTCTTTACAATTGACTTCATAAATCTTATTCAATTGTTTTTAGAAAATCTAAAGGGGTAGTTCAAGTGATAACAGAAACGAATTCTAAATTCAGATGTCTTGAGTTTAAATTTTGGTAACCCCTCAAGGCGGGCTATGTGAGATTTATCTCTCATGAATACCTTAGTTTCGACGTTGATGGTCTGCCTTTGACCGGACCAGAGAAATGATTAGTTGAGATGACTCAGACACCCCTAACAGTTGAACAAAAAAGAAAAAAAAAATTGATTTTAGAAATTTCCTTCCATATATCCAAAATAAAATGTAAACTTAAACTTCTTAAATTTGAATTTTTGCAATACCTTGAGACTAGACAATAAAAATTTACTTCTCATGAATACTCTAGTTGTTTTTGAGTAAATCAAAGAAAAAATTAATTAAAATACACATAAATTAATTTAGACATTTTTAACCATTGACCCAAAAAATATTCAAAATTGTATGTTGATTTGTTTCAAAAGTGCTCCACTCCCATAAATATCTCGCATTCATGTTCACTGACTTAACCGTCAACCGGTCCCACAACCTCATGCGAAGGAATTTCGTTGATGAACCGCGTGTTTCAAAAGTCTCTTGCACTTTGGTCTTCGTTTCCAAATCCGTCCAAAAATCTGAACACTGCTCTTTTCTTCCTTTTGACTTCTCTATCATTTCTACGCATCCTCTGTGTGTGTGTGCGTGCAGTGTGACTATTGAAGTGGGAAGGTCGATCTCTTTGGGGTCATTAATCTTGGCGATTCAGTGTTGATGAAGGTATGAACTCAGGTATCCATTTCGGTATTTCGAAAAGTGGAGGGGGCTGTTGAGACAAATTTTCAGAGGTTTGAATGAATTTCTCAAATTTAGCATGATTTTTTTTCGGTTAATTTTTTCTCAACTGTCACTGGAGCTTTTGATTCGATGTTTGATCGCAATAATATAGGCTTTGAAGCCGACGATTCTCTGTCAAACTTAAATTGGGTCTATCTATTGCTCCTGTTTTCCTCTGTAGTTTGCACATTTTGATTAAACTGAATGCATCGCCGAGTTTGGCTGTAATTGACCTTGTTTTAGTTTCATTTATTATTGAATGCCGATTTTTCTTTTGGATTACATGATTCATCATCAATCCTCAATTGGGTTGGCTCCCCCTTGTTTACTAGTTGGCCCCAGCTTTCTGATGAGAACTTTCCTACCTGTGTTCAATGATCATGCAATCTTCTCGTTGGTCCCACTTCTATGCAAATATGGGATATTGGCACAATGAGTCAGAGATGTATCTGGTCTGGGTTGTCTTCACAACCATGGAGTTGACAAACTAGCAAATCAAGAGCCAAAATGCTTAAGTGGTGCAGTGGTTGGGTCTGTCTCAGGTTCAATTCAAAGTACAAGGTCTCAATTTTAATTCCTTCTCACACCCCTAAGGACTAGACATCTTTATTACTTTGGGGACATGCTCTAGACCAGCTCAAGTTATGGTGGTTAGCGGCTAAACACCTTGTAGGAAGAAAAAAAAGGAACCAAAATGCTTGTGGAGACCAAGCTGATAGCATTATGGACCACAAAATTGACTGTGGAGTTGGTGTATTTAGTTCTGTGTGAAATCAAACCAGTGTACTTAGTTCAGAGTGAAATCAAACCAAATTATGGTAGCATTTATTGTCAATCGCACTAGTAAGTGCTTCCCTTGCCTTTGTTAACTTGGGAGTCCAGGGTTGAACAACCCTTCTGTTCAAGGAAGGAGCCAAATGGAATCAATACTTTCCTTGCTTTAACATCCTGAGTCCTACTTAGGCTTTTCACAAAGATTCTTCAAGCTAAGTGACTCTCATTATCTTGAATTTTACATTCCCCGCTTAAAAATAAGAAAATAATAAACTATCTTCACTAAGACATAGATTCTGGAGAAATATCATAGTTTTGTTAAGACTCCAATAAATAATGTGTGGGAGGATAACGAGAACTCGTGTGGAATGAAGGGTATTGATTGATGGTGATTTTCAAATCTTGCAGAACAGAATGGCAGCACCATTGAAATAGCACTGTTATGCTGTTGGCTTGCTGATTATTCTTTTTCTCAGCATTTTTCCTTTATACTGTTTTTCTGTCTAGGTGCTTGAATAGTTGGACATACAAATCATTCATTTTTGTTGAATTGCCAGCAACCTCAAACTCACAATCCAAGCCAGTAAACACAAGTCCCGGTTCATTCCAAAAATGAAGAAAGTAATCTCAACACCGTCTACTTTCTCAACACCAGCTATCTTTTTCATTCTGGCTATGACTCTACTATTACTAGATGGATCACTGGGAGACCCAAGATCTCAGACGGTTCAGATCATGTGTGGGAATCAACTTGAGCACAATTCAACCATCTATGTGCCAAACTTTGTTGCGACAATGGAAAACATCAGTGAACAGATGCGGACTTCTGGTTTTGGAGTAGCAGTTACAGGTTCAGGACTCGATACTAATTATGGACTCGCTCAGTGCTATGGCGATCTTTCTTTACTTGATTGTGTATTGTGCTATGCTGAGGCACGCACTGTTCTTCCTCAATGCTTCCCTGTCAATGGGGGTCGCATTTACCTCGATGGTTGCTTTATGCGAGCTGAGAATTACAGCTTTTTTGAGGAATATACAGGGCCAGGAGACAGGGTCTTGTGTGGGAATACAACCCAAAAGAGTTCCACATTTCAAGAGTCAGCAAGGCAGGCTGTGTTGCAAGCAGTTTCAGATGCACCAAACAATAATAACTATGCTAGGTCTCAGGTGGCTGTGTCGGGGGCTGTAAATGAGTCAGCTTATGTTCTAGCTGATTGCTGGATGACACTGAATGCAAGTGCTTGCAGAACATGTTTGGAGAATGCATCTAGTTCAATATTGAGATGCTTGCCTTGGTCTGAGGGGCGGGCATTGAACACCGGGTGCTTCATGAGATACTCTGAAACCAATTTCCTTAATCCTGTTCCTGGCAATGGAAGTTCAAGAGGTAATAAGATTTCTAGTTTCTCCTTCCCTGTATTTATCAAGTACTTTAGCACATTAAATTTACTAGCATATGAACAAAACTAGTAGGGCATGGAAAGAGGTGTCAGTAAGAAATAGAACTTGAAGATTGAAGTTTGCCTGATCACGGTTTTTCAGTGATTACTTCTGCAGGGAAAATCATAGTGATTGTAGTTGCTGCTGTTAGTTCTGTGGTCGTTTTGGTAGTTGGGGCAGTTCTTGGAGTTTATATCTGGAAGCAGAAGAAGATACAGAGGAAAAGAAGATGCCATTTGGGTATTACTTCTACCTTTGCTTTTCCATATCAGCTATAAAGCAGTTGCATGATCCCAACTATTAAGAATGGCATCAGTAATTCAAGCAAAAGTACTGATTGAAAAAGTAAAATAAATTCAGAACAGTTTATTGCATCATTTATCTGTGGGATACTGGGATTTCCCCTACTTCAAGAGTCTTTGAATACTTGTATCTTTAGAACCTCAAATAAAGTAGGGTTTCTGTATTTTTACTTTAAACCAAGACATGATAATATGGTCTCTGAAACAGAATCAAACTTTTTGAAGGTTCCTCTCATTCTTGAACTTCTCAGGTTCAAACGACGCAGAGAAATTGGCGAAGACCCTTCATGACAGTAGCTTGAACTTCAAGTACTCCATACTTGAGAAAGCCACAGGGTCTTTTGATGAGACCAACAAGCTTGGGCATGGAGGGTTTGGAACAGTTTATAAGGTATTGTGTAGAATGTACTTGGATAAATGATATTATGTTAATTGCTTCGTTTTCTCATTGTGTTGAAAAGTTCATTTCCATTAGACCTAGACATAGCCTCACAATTTCTCTTTATTGCAGGGAGTTCTACCAGATGGAAGAGAGATTGCTGTCAAGAGGCTGTTCTTCAACAACAGGCACAGGGCAGCAGATTTCTACAATGAAGTTAATATTATTAGCAGCGTTGAGCACAAAAATCTAGTGAGGCTATTAGGTTGCAGTTGTTCAGGACCAGAAAGCCTTCTCGTGTATGAGTTCCTGCCAAACAGGAGTCTTGATCGCTTCATCTTTGGTAAGTACAGGATTTTACATTGAATTTGGAAGTCTGAGTTCACATATATGGCCTCTCAACCCAGGGCACTGTTTTGAACAATGGCCGAGGATATGCATATTATCTAGTGCTACTCCTTATAGCATGTCTTACCATCCCAAATTTGTGACAATGTGAAGTTAACGGAATTGGGATAAATGTTGACTACACTTGACAGATTCGAACAGAGGTAAAGCGCTGAACTGGGAGAAAAGATTCGATATAATTATGGGGATGGCAGAAGGTTTGGTTTACCTTCATGAAAACAGAAAAACCCGAATCATTCACAGAGACATAAAAGCAAGTAACATCTTGTTGGATTCAAGGCTCCGTGCTAAAATCGCTGATTTTGGGTTGGCCAGGTCTTTCCAAGAAGATAAGAGTCACATCAGCACTGCTATTGCAGGAACATTGTAAGCAACTTTTCATTTTCGTTACTCTTCAAATGAGTAAGAGTAGAAACTGTAAGTTTACCAAATTCTTAGATTAATTAACTAATGTTGAGGTCCATTCACTTTTCTAAATCCACAGAGGATATATGGCTCCAGAATATCTGGCCCATGGCCAGTTGACAGAGAAAGCAGATGTGTACAGTTTTGGTGTGCTTTTGTTGGAGATAGTTACAGGAAGCCAGAACAACAGGAGCAAAACTTCAGAATATTCAGACAGCCTGGTCATCGTTGTAAGTCCTAAAGCTTTTAGTGTTCTATGTACGTCCAAGCATTTCAATAATCCAACAATGAACTGCCTTTTTGTTTAAGAAAGGAAATATTATATTGATTCGAAAATAGATAGAAGATGTACAATAAAACTCAAAACACATCCACAAACACACACTCAGCTGTATTCCACACAAAACACAAACCTAGACTACATTAAAATTTCTAACACAACACGTGAGACTAGGCGCACGATAAAAATTAACGCTATAATTTTGCATTTCGATTTACCTATTATGTTATTTGGATTAAACAGGCATGGAAGCATTTCCAACAAGGGAGAGCAGAAGAACTCTTTGACCCAAACCTAATGCTGCATAACTACCCCAACAGCAACATGAAATATGAGGTTTTAAGAGTGCTGCATGTAGGACTTCTGTGCACTCAAGAGGTTCCTTCACTACGGCCATCAATGTCTAAGGCACTGCAGATGCTGGCAAAGAAAGATGAGCACCTCCCTTCACCCACTAATCCACCTTTTGTAGATGAGCAGACCATGGCACTTAAGACACATTCAAAAACCCGAGTCACCCGCTCAACGTCCTCAATTCTGATTCAATTGCCAGTGTCTCCCATAGTTCCTTCTACCCTAGGTAACACCTAAGTACGATGATCTGGAAGAGTTTCATGGAAAAAGTTATTACAGCCCATTCATCTACAAGGAAAATATACAAGCATCTGAAAGTTGTATCATAGACTCCCTTATCAGCCATTATGAGTTACAGATTGATACACAAGACAAAATATATGGTGGTGATACAAGTACAAAGGTTCGACACCAATATTTTCTATTGCTACACAAAGTTTGAGAAAGTGAATAAATCCTGTAAAGTTGTGTTGTGGTTATTGGGTACAAATTTTGTTTATTATCGTTCTTAAATTTGCTGTGTGTGAACTGTACATAGTTTAAGTGGTTCAATAGATGATTTTGTCTTTTCTTTTATATTTGTCTTGTGAGTGCACCAACCTGATGGAAGCTAACTAGCCGGGATATATTTGTTTTTGTTCAATGGTCAAATGTGTCTGAGCCAACTAGCCCGGATATTTGAGCTTGTAAAATCATTTCCTCTTTGTGAGTAGCTTCAGTCCTCATAACCTAGTTAATAAACTATGCAAGTTACAGTCTAATATGGATGACATTTCACCAGTGCCAATGGTCATTTAATTTCCAAATTCGGTACGAATTGAGAAAACCCGGATTGTAGAAGCATTTTCCCAGCATTGGAATGAAATTTTGATCAAAATCTGATTAACAACAGATGCGACAAACTGTCAACAGTGAAAAATTTCAGAGGAATACAGAGACGGATTTTGGTGCTTCGGAATACAGTGTCCTGCATTGCACACCTACTAACCC